TTTTTCAGAGCCGAGAAAATTGTTTAACGCCACCAAAAAAATATTGGCGCAAACTGAAAAATACAGATTTTCAAAAAAATCAGATCCCATTTCTCGTTTTTTTTTTCGTTTCTTTTTCTTCTTTTATTTTCTTTTCTTTTCTTTTTCTTCTTCCCCCCCTGACAACGGGAAGGCAGCTGGCAGGTCGGGCCGAGAAGGTCCTCCTCTCTCTCATCCTCCTATTTCTCTCTCTCTCTCTCTCTCTACCTTTTTTACCTTCTACTGGAACATCCTGAGCCGCGAGATCCAAAATCTTGTGGCCACAGATATTCGCCTCAAAACGAAGTGGGAGCTGTTATGCTCCCACACAACCAAAATGGTTGTTCTTTTCCTAACCTTGAGGCAACCTGCCTCATTTTCTTTCCCCTTTTTTACCCCGCTGGCCTTGGCCAACGGTCACATCGCGGGACACCCTCGTGACCTGTTGAAATACAGACCCGAGTTCGATCCCCTTCGGGGATCGAAATGATTTTGGAACATTTCTCGATTTATGCGTGTCGTCCTTGTGCAAAGGGTCATGCTAATCTGGCACGGCCAATCTCGTCTGTCGTCTTCGATCTCGGTATTTGCACGGTAAAAGTTCGACATGGTAACCTACTGGGCTAGCTCCTTTGACGGAAGCTAAGCCTGCTACCCTTCTATATGAAGGGTAGCAGCCCAGCAGGCTGCCCAGCCATGGCCATTGGCAGACCTCTTCGGCCCCCTTTCACAAAGCCAGTCGTGCTGCCGTCGGCATGGCGGCCTCTTGGTCCCACAACACTCACGCCGCCGCCCATTCATCGGGCGGCTCAACCTGATGGTGCCGTGGTCAGCCTTTTAGGCCGCGGAAATGGCACTGGCCCTCCATACAAAGTAAACCCCCCGGTCCAAAAATAATAAAGAAAAATGTCCCCTACTTTCTCCGCGTCGCGGCCCTATACCTAGCGCGACCGCCCTTTTGAGTCTACTTAGGCCCTGAATCGTGTGGCCGCTAGGCTAGGTCTAGTTTTAGCATTCCCACGACCGTGTGTTGCCGCGACTCTATTAAGAGCCGCGACTAACCGGTCACACTGGCGACTACCGCTATGATTATCGGACGTCACAAGCGTCCGAATCTAGACTTAAACAGTTGTAGTCTTCTCAGTCATAGGGTAGGTCTGAATAATCTTCTGGCAACATCAGTCCCATCAAGTCCCATTTTAATGAAAATGTCAGACAGCGTCTGACATGGGAAAATCGGGCAGATACCCTTGTAAGGGTTTCTGCCCCGACACCGGTCCCAGTCAGTCCTAGTCCAGTCAAGCAAGTATCGTGTGGGACTGTGTGCACCAAGGGCATGGGAAAGGGGCAGACCAATGAGTTACAAAAGTATAAATGAAGAGGCAGCGCCCAGCCATTCATTCATTCCTGCCTAAGCCATGCGGAAGCGCTGCTTGAGCGACTTGTGCGAGGTGGTCTGCAGAGTGCCCGAAGACGAAGTGGGCTGAAGGGATAGTTAGCCATACCTAGTGAGGGACAGCGGCCATAGCCGCCATAGTTGATCGACGAGTGTGTTAGTAGTAGTGAGTGAGTGCGAACAGTGGTGTTGGACAGAGTGACGAGAGTTGGGTGGTACAGGCGTTGATGCGCCATAGCCTGTTGAAGCGAGCTTGTATCTGAACTGTGTTTTCGACTTCCATATCTCTAAGCTTTGAGTGGGCGTTGTGTGCCAGTGTGATTCGCCATCTGTTTGCATGAGTGCGCACTGGGAAAGAAAGCGAGTCTGATTGCACACTGGCCTTAGCGCAGCAGCATGACCGCATTGCCCGCGTAGGCCAGAATGCCTGGCCTGGGCTGCCTCTCTTCCTATATGGAAGTGGCAACCTCCTGGATGTTGCGTGTGGCCTGGCTGGAAGCTTCCAGTAGCTTCCTGTTGGGCCCCAGTTCCTGCGCCCAGGTCAGAGACTATAGTTGAGGGCCTGGGCCTTTTACAGTTGGGCACGGCCTGAGTCTCCAGACTTGGGCCGTTTGCCGCATTTGCACAGGACCCCAGGGTAGGTACGTCGACAGACCGCTTTGGCATAGGCCGGTGGCCACTTCATGATGTATCGGCCCTGCTTTTTTGTGTATGTGCCCAGGCGCAACTGCCAAGGCCTGGGCCAACTGTACGATGCAGCTTAGTGAGGCTCGCGCGTCCACTCAACCAACTGGCGGGCTGCAACAACCGAAAACCCATATATGAAAATGTCGAATTTTGGCCTCTGATGAATATTCAAGCCCGCCTTCACTTAGGGCGGGCCCTGCTTTTTTGTGTATGTGCCCAGGCGCAACTGCCAAGGCCTGGGCCAACTGTACAACGCAGCTTAGTGAGGTTCACGCGTCCACTCAACCAACTGGCGGGCTGCAACAGCCTGAAAACCCATATATGAAAATGTCGAATTTTGGCCTCTGATGAATATTCAAGCCCGCCTTCACTTAGGGCGGGCACTTGGCTTGCTGGGGGCCTCTGCCTGGGACATGTGTATGTCTGATAGGGGTTCGGTGAGGGCTCGTTCCTCACAGAAGGCTCTACAAGT